CTTATAATTTTTCTCATCAGATGGTGGCCTATGTAGACAAGCTATTTCATAAAGCTCCATTTTTTTAGCATTAGGATCATGCTCTATACCTTTTTTGCTCAACCACGTGATGATGTCTCTTTTTAGAGAAGATCTAGTTGGAGGCTTGTCTTCCAAAGCTGAATGGTAAGGTGCATTATCCATTATTATAATACTATTAGGAGGAATGTTAGGAAATAGTTTTTCAGTAAGCCACTTCGTGAAATTTTCTTGGTTCATTTGACCGTGATAATCACCAGTGGCACAGCCAGCCTTGAAAATGAGACAGGCTCCAGGAACAAAACCATCTTGCGAACCCGCATGAACAATTATAAGTCGTCCTGGAAATGAATAAATAGCCTCATTTTAGTGTTATTTTAAGTTTGCCAACACCTTTTTGAATCACTATGTATAAAAAACATATTTTTGAGAAAAAAATACTTGCAAGGGATTATGTATTCAATTAGACAAATTAAATGAGCACTTATTAAGAATATTCCAAAATTGAGAAAAATGTATAATAAGCAAAATCGAGGTGAAAGAAACTTTATTACCTGTAGAACTTATATTGCTCAGGACACCCATAATTTCTTCGCTTTGCCAGCATTTCTTGAAAGTGAGGTCATTATCAACCCAAGTTTCGTCCAAATAAATAATATGCCTTCCTTCTTCCCGGAACTTTTTAATAGACCTAAGATACTTGTATCGCCAATGTAAAATACTGGGTCTTTCCATTAGTAATTTCCTTTTGTTGTGGCATTTACGCCAGTAAAATCCTTTTGCTTTTAAAAGCAGCCTCAACGATTCTTTACCAAATGGAAATTCCATTTCTTCCTTCAGTTTGATTAGAAGTTTACTACAAGTAGGTACCACTTTAAAATCACAGTAAAATTTTTCTATCATTCTCCGAATAATGGAAAAATCGACTCCATCAATTTTTTGGATCACAGAAGGGCGTGATCTCTTTTTTCCGGGAGAAGCTAAAGGCTGTGTGGAGGTTGCATTTTGCCTGTCTTTATCTTCTTTTCTAATTTTACTTATAGTTCGTTCACTAACACCCGTATAATATGCCGCCCTTGCATTTCTAGCTACCAGTGGATAAACGAAAGTATTGTTAGCCGCTTCTGCATCGCAAGCACGTATCACGTTTGCTATTATTTCCCTTGCCTGGCTGTGAATAACTTTCCCATGCTTGAATTCCATTATCACCACTAAACAGTAAATTATATTTTCAAAGTATTTGCCAACTGCCTACGCCTATGGGAGTAGGTTTATAAATGACCGTGCCATCGGCACGTTATTCTAGTTTCAGATAAGATAAGAGTTTTGGACCAATCAGCGACCGGATGTTTACCTGCGGCCTGGGTTTTCCAGCTACATTGCCAAATTCAGCGGAACAATTCTATATCTTAAATATGTTAATATGTATGGACCGCATTTTATGTAGAACATCTGACAACTTCGCAATTTTTTGTCCGCATTCTTTCGGCTTGCAATCTTTCGCTGGTCCAACATTAGCAATAGTACACTGGGAAAAAGCATTAATTAAACAAATTAAATGATTTAATTACCTACATGACAGTTTAATTGATTTATTTAAACTCCGATTTATAGTTTACTTAAATCTATGAAACTAGTTTAATTAAACCATCACGCAATCGTTTAATCACAATGTATTAAACCGTTTACTTAGATTGAATACACCAATTTACTTAGAATTAATGAACTATTAAAATGTGTTTACCATGTAGGACTTAGATAATACTAATGATTGTTTTGGCTAAAAAACATTACCAATGAGTAAAGAAAATGACTATAATTTCCTAGACATCAAAAACAAAATATACCCGAGAATTGCAGATACTCACATTGTAAGACACTGCTCAATTCGACGTAATTTATGAGTAGTCATAAAATGTGTGGTGTATCGAGGACCAACAGCAATTTGCCCTCACCAAAAGAAATAGAGACACAGAACTATTATCAAGCCTCACAATCAATTTCCCTGTCTAGCGGAGACTTTCTATCTACGTACAGCGATCATAGTTCCAAGATGCCCAATATTTAACTATCCCCTGAAGTGCGCCAATTATTTATTTAACAAGAGTTCTCATTTCAGAAAATGTATGAACATGTCCACACAAGTTGTACCTGGTCAAACTTGAAGGGGTGAATCGTTGGGCTCTTATCGAAACCTTTAAGCGAGCAAGATTTGTATAGCAAAATTTGGCTATAACTGTTGCAACTATAGCCCAGCCCTCATGAGCCTATTACCGCATATGGTCTGGCTATATATTGGCAATATTTTCTGCAATGTGAAGATCCACACACTTGTCAGAATGTCCCGTCAGAATGGCTACAAAATCAGGCAATAACTGACGAAACTGTACGGGTCTTGGCAACTTACGTACATATTAGAAATCCAACAGTTCGGCAATCTTAAAGCAACATAATATGAAAATAGTTCGGAAATGTCAAACATGTGTAGTGATATGGCCGGGGGATTGTCAAACTTTATTTGGAAATTCTTTTATTAGCAAAAGACACCATGAAAAATGTTCTAACGTATTGCAATAGTATGTCTCAGACACTAAAAGGTAAAGACAAGAAAGCCGTGTTTCAAATCAATCGTTTCTCTCCATATTCTACAGCCAAGATGCTGTCACATGAGTCAGTCCAAATTTCATCTCAACAACTGGCATCGGGGGCGTCAGGGCTTTTCGTGAGTTGGGGGCGTCGAAGCCCACGGGGTGCATTGTCTTAACGAAACAATGACACACACTGCTGCTGATATGAATTTATAAGCAGAGAAACAGGATTCGGATAATTACATGTAAATGGGAATTTACTCACACTATCTCACCAGCCGGCGCGTCGCACTGAAAGACATAGACGTCGACATTTCAGGGAAAGGAGAAAAAAGTTCAGTTGTTTACCTACTAATGAATAAAAAGGAAAGAAGCAATCTGATGCCAATGAGACCGTTGCGTAGACTACTTAATGGGTCCTCCTGTTTACAGATTATCTGAAAGTTAATTTGGAGCCCAATGAAGCCCAATTATCTCCGCGTGCCTGGGCACCCAAAGGAATGATACTGGTTCTTCGTTGCAACATAGTCTAGATTCCTCCAATGCTCCAGAAATGTTATCATAGAAGCACATATGCTTTATTCGCCGCCTGGATAACCGAGAAAATAGTGTTTGTTCCCCAAAGCAATTGTGTTTCGTGAACACCAGATATACAAGAAAATATATTTTATAGCTGTCTACCTGGAAAACAGTGACAGTTACTCAAGAAGAACTGAGGATTTGTTGTAACCTGGCACCCGAGGACTCGTTTGTTAGGAAACAATAAAGGACGTTATAGTCCTGATACTGTCCGTTAGAGAAGTGTTACAGATTAGTTGAATAGCTATCCCCCTCTGAGCAGCATCAAATATGTGAACAGTACTTGAGGCTAGGTCTTATCTGGGCCTTGTACAGAGTGATAAGGTTGTGTGGAGAATAATACTCCTTAGCACTGTCAAATCACCTTGTTTTTTCACCGGCTGATTACAGGAAGCACAGCTATTGGTCTGTAGTTATAAAGGTCGGCCTTTCATCCTTTTTTCTGAACGGACTGGATATTTTTCATTTTCAATTCTCTGGCAAAGAGCCGGATTCGTAAGACACCTGGGAGAGGCGCGAAAGATCTGGAGCAAACTCCGCTGCACATCTCTTCAGGAACCAAGTCAAGACCAGAATATTTATTGATATCGAACGACAAGAGAACCCGTCTAACGGTTTTATGGCTACAGGTTACTTCCAGCACGGTGTAGGGAAACCTTGGAATGGGCGGCACACTGGCGTTAAGAGGGACGTCCATGATGGAGTTGGCAGCAAAGATATTCGCAAGCACTTCCCCCTTAGTCTTTGAGTCGGTAACAATCGTTTCATCCTGCCACGCAAGCGGACAAAGTCTACTCTTTGAAAAGCTCCCTTCGATCTGCTTGGCCAGCGACCAGAAGTACCGACTGCCCTTGAGCTGCGGCATCATCCTGAACCTGATTTTTGCATCGTGCTGGTTGGTATTTGGCTACAATTATCGTGGAACATAATTTCCGGTCAAACTGACTAATCTTTTAGTAAGCTATGCTCTATACAATTTTGATCATAAGTCCTCATGATACTTCCGTTCGAGTTTCAATGCCATCCGAGTTACAGGATGTCACAAGATTCAAACTCTTACAAGAATTAGTGGCCGTGTTCTTAGAACTTTCTATACAAATAATGCTACCAACGTCACATCTTTAACCTTTTTCTTCAGAGGGACTAATATAAAAAGGCTATAACTGCCATATAAACAGTCGTACCCCTTTCTATAAAAAATTTCTCCGCCTATGCTTGCAGCCTACTCGACATAATTCTGGTAATTGCGTTATTTTAGCCGCGATTTGGTATTTAGGTTGTCGTATCTGCGGTGTATATGACGCCCTTTTTTCAACATTCCTTATCCGATATCTCGTAGGTAGATTTCCGAAAAAAAGGTCGTGATATAGAACTACACATTCAGTCGAGATATTTTATTGATATGGATATCTTGCATTCCATACAAATGGGTGATAGCGTTACCCAATTATCTGTCAGTGAGACAAAGGTGAAGTTAGTAAGCAGTGCAGAATCCAGATAATACTAAAATACATTTGTCTCTCGTTTACAATGATTTTATCCATTTCATTAATTGATCAATTATAAATTATGGCTAGCTAACAGTATATTTTTATTACCAGTGAAGCATATCAAAACCCATCAACTAGTACAAGTCTAGGTATGTCACAGCCGCTCACAGTTTTTCCAAATGTGTTTATTTTATCAAAAATTTGTAATATAAACTAGGATGATACTAGATGAATTGATGCACCTATCCATCACTTTGCCGATAGCAGACGGTAAGGCGTATTCTTATTATTCAAAGTCACCTTGACTTGTTAATGTTCTGATATTGGCATAACCACATGTAGGCATATTGAATACCGCATGTAAGTATCATCTACATATGTCCAATGTGTAAGTAAATAAAATTTGCTGTATCTTTATGTATATCATGAAATTCTGCATCGTCCAATAAGTTACAGTTTAATGATACAGGCAAAACCAAACCACCGTATGCTACAATCAAACCATTTTTTACCCTTTCAAACTGCATAAAAGTTTTTGTTCTCCAATTATTTTTTGTTGGACCAAAGGTTTCAATGTAAAAGTCTTTGACTGTAGTTTATCCAGTGAGGTCAACGGTATGCAGAGTCGTTATCCAGTCATTCCACTTCCATAATTTTATCGTGCTATCCACTGGAGATCGGACGATTTTTATAGCAATCTTCGAATAACAGACTTATTGCTCGCAAATCTGTATGTATATCCATTTCCTGTGAGCCATGCCTTGGAGTAGTAGGTGCGGCGATCCAGTCCACTTATTAGAGCCCACATAACGTGTATAAGTGCCGTGGCAGTTTTTTCTTTCGTTTCTGCCGAGATACATACACCTCTTGCGCCGGCATTAAGGTAATTGCCGTCTCTCGGACGATGACAGGAAATGTATTAATTTCAATTATTTCTGTAATTCGTCATATTAGGTCGCATTTTGCATGAAAGCGCTTTGCAAGGAATGCCACGATGGATGATTTAATGGCTCACGCTCTGTTCACTTCTCATACCGGATGAAATTGCCGTGTAAATTACTTCAGCGTGGTCAACGGTAGCACTTAATATCAGCATCAATGAAAAATCTCAAAGTTATAAATTGAACGTGTCAAGGAGCAATAGTTGGCCCCAATATACGCCAAAACATCAAACAATTGGGGGTAATCTGGAAAGCTAAAAGTAGACGGAGACCATGCCTAAGGTTACACACAGACAAATAATATGTCGATTACTGATCAGTTGCTGATTGGTTGCTCACGTCAATAAACGTCAAAACGTAATGAAATGAAATTGGGTTACCTTTCTGATAAATCTATCATAGCTGCTGAGAAGGCATGTTCCGTAGTTTGCTCACTGAGAGAAAGTGGGATTGATTTTCTTCCCTGAAAAATGATGTCAAATGTTGACAGATGATGACATTTGTCTAACAAGTTTATGACTGCACCCATTTGCGGCCAAATAATACGTTCATGAGTTCTCCATATTATTAACAGTTCCATCACAAGGTTAGCTTCGATTTAGAGATCAGACTGATGGACGTTGGCTTAATTTTGGTCACTTTTTCTTTAGAGCATTCTTGGGAATAATTGATTCGGGGAGAGAATATTCTATCACCATTCAGAAATACAGTTCCTCTAAAGGTAAGAGAACCACGTCCACTTTCTCTCAGTTATTTCGATCGTCATAAAATCAACTTGTCGCTTTTTTACCAAAGAGACTACACGAATTTGATCCTAGCCTCAATTTTAATTGTGATTTTATAGACCTCTCCTTCATATACGTACTTATACAAATTTACTTAATTGTTTCTAATGCCGTTCCCTAAACGAATAAGTAAGAATTTCAAAAATCGCAAACATTGACGTAGGCACCTTAACTATCTATTTGCTGTAGAGGTGTAAACTGAAACATATTGTGTGTAGATTTTGTACGCCCAAAAGTGCATCTGAGAAATACTTACCAAGGAAAGTCCCCGGTAAGGAATCGAACTCTGATCTACCCCTCGGGACGTGGGAACATTAACCACTAGACCCAATCTAATCATTTACACGTGGTGTTGAGTTATTGTAACTGCGTATAATAGTTACGCATATGACCTCGCGCAATTTTTGATACTTTGAGTATCTAATAATAAAGCAAACCCTCCTGAATAATAGTAACAGAAACAGTGTCAGAAGAGTAATGATACATATTAAGATATCTTGGATTTTTCAAAACACAACATATAATAATGTAGAACAACAAAAAGGTTATAACAAATTACTTTACTACAAATTACTTTTACTAGCTTTTTAGGTGTTCGGACGAGAAACAGGCGCGGTGAGAACTTTATTTTCTAATGTACAGTGATAGTGATTTTCGTTGCGCTTGGCACGGGCATAAAAATATCTATCATTTAAGTATTCAGGGTAAATATATAATAAACTTTATGTCTCATAGGTGCATAGGATTATCGGGCGTAAAGGCGTATTTATTACTGTCACAAAAATGAGATACAGCCTCCCCACCTCTTCAACTCCTCAAATAAATTTCAAAAGGTGAACAGGAGTTTCTGAAACGAATTACAAAGCTTTTTTGTCCTCGACATAGTAGTAATCTTGTGTGAAAGTTTCGCCACAATCCAAGCGATACTTGAAAATTATAGAGGGGACACAGACAGAAAGACAGACCAACGGAAATAAGTAATTTGGTTTTTCACAACATGTAACATCCAAAAAATATCTCATTTTCGAAATATTTCGCAATTACAATACTTCCTCGCTAACAGGCGTGCGAAGCAAGAAATGTATGGTAAATGTAAATTCTGTTTGAAATGAAAACAAGACGTTTAACCTCAGACTGTCGTGCGAAAATGTGTTTCGTTCACCTTAAGATATACAACTGTTCTCTTTTTTTCAAGGTCATCTTGACCCCCTATTATGTACCATTACCGTAGTCCTCTATCGTAGAGTCGCCTTGATGGACCCCTAGGCGTGAAGTGTGTCCTTACCCTTTGTCTTAGGTCTCGTCCCTTAATTTCCCTGGAGAAGTTAGGTCAACAAGGAGAACAATGGAGATATACCAAACATTGAAATGTTTTATAATTTTCCATTGCCACCTCTAACACGTTCGCTGCCGCTGGCTCTTATAAATAAAAGTCAACACGAAATCTTCGCCGGTGCCGTAAAACGTGATTTAGATGGTAAAAAACAAGTATCCAGAAAAAGATGCCAGTCTTGTAGCAAGAAGGGAATCCGTACCCAAACGATGTACGAATGTAGAACATGTCCTGATGTTCCAGGATTTTGCTTGAAGTGCAGTGGCATTATTCACAAATAATTTTTTTCACTAAAAATAGTCTGCATTCACCACAAATCCATGTTTGTATTCTAAAAAAAAGGTTGTTGCATTTCTTATTTTTATGGCTGCATGGCTCAGTCCCAAACAAAAAAAAGATATACAATATCAATGTTTTTTGTTTTCAACCCTTAAAGCAAAATACCCGGTGTTACTCCATATCCCTCAACCAAGAGTCACACACTGGGATATACACCACTGAGTGTGGGAACCATCAAGGGGAGCCCTGTCGACAAGATTGCTATTAAGCCAGCTTAATTAGACGTTGGCAACCGGCTAATTGGTCGCAAGAAGATGATGGCAGTACCACAGGCTGATCTCCAGCCTGCTCCTTTATTATGACTGTGTGTGTACGCATCAGCGCTGTGCTGGCCGCGATTACTGTCAGCGAATTATGACAGCACTTCTTCACGTATAACAGGGATAATCAGCTATATACGTTGTTGCAATTGTAGTTGGAATTTCAGATGACGATGTTTGCCGGAGATCGAGATACCACCGTGTTACGGCTAGTGATGAGCTATTCCAGGTACAAGTATACTGGGGTACTATGGGAAATACGCACTGACATAACTAAAAATCCTATTGCAGGAGTTCCCAACCACGGGGAGCGCGCCTCCCAAGGGGGGCATAGAGAGATGTCAAGGGGGCGGAAAGCGTTTGCATTTTAGAAAGAAAAAACAAAAAAATAAACAAACATCATTAACACATAGCATTACAATGTAATGTTTAATTTACACGCATAAAATTACAAACTAAAGATCATATTTACTTATTCTGTCAACCGCTGTTTCAAAACCCGGCGTCGTCAATCGCAGTTTATACAAGTTTCGACAAGTCACGAAATGAAATCCGCTCACACCCCCGCCGCGCTTCACTGAACATTCATTACGCAGAAAACAATTGTGCACCTACCAGACGTGGATGAGCATCTGTGACATTCATTCCCACAAACTTGCTAAAAATTTGACGTTTCGATGTACATGTTTTGTTGAGAAATCTGTTTGAGTGTGTCAAATTATTGTGTCTCACTGTTAAACGGTAAGTTTGTGTATTTACAAACTTCAGTTACCATTTTTATTTAATTTACTAAATTGTTGATTGAGTGGAGACGCGTTCATAGAACGGCCATTGTGACTTTTTTATCACATCACAATCAAACCAATGTGGCGGAATAATTTTGAAACGAAGAACTTTAATTACCTAATATTAATCAAATCCAAGCGGATAACCAAAATTTCCGTATTATGTACCGCGGTTATAATATGGTTCAAGATGACACACGGGATGGTGACGTCAGTTACTCGAATCGCTTGAACGCGTTGGTTTTAACCGCGGTTTGTTGCAAGTTGTTTATTTTAGAAAAGCGCGTATATAATTTCTGATTATTTTTATTATCACTTAATAATCGGTGCTTTTTCGTCTACAACGGGGTATGGAGAGTTGAAAAAAAGAAAACTTTCATAATATTAATGAGAGGAATGTTTTTTTTTTTAAAAAAAATGTTTACTGATGGAACCATGGCTTTGTAGCTATGATAACTTTCAATTCTCTAAACTTTTCCGCATGTCAAAGAAAATATTTATTGATTTAGCGATGAAAAAAGATATTAACAAAACCGTAAACAGGTGGACATCATCCAGTGAGTTTATACGGCCATATTTTAATATTCTTGTGGTATATGGCTATACAGGATACTTTTTTAAGTGTAGGAACTAGATTTAAAGTGTCCCCAACAACAGTGATGATTACAAATAATGCTAAAACTGAAGTCAGCCTGTATCAAGTTTCCCAAAAATGAAGCTGAAGTACAATAAAAATATCCAATACCCGGCAAAATTCTAACTTGTCACATGTCAAATAATAACCAGAAATATAAAACTACTCCGGAGTTGGGTAAATACCACAATTTTGCGGTGATAACTATGACATATAACAGCTGATTCATGACGTCACGGATCTTATAACCAAACTGATAACCACACTCGCTTGAACGGATCGGTAAATACCAATCCAAAATGGTAAATACCATTTCCATTTGGTTATCCGCTTGAATTTGATTATTCATTCTAAATGTATTTAAAATTACTATTATAACGTCAACCTGCCTACAAAAATATAAATCTCTCGTTGGCCAATATACTGTTGGACACATTACGTTATTGAGATAAAATAATAGGTATATAATCAGTAATTACATGTAGGTATTTTGCTTATTTATTTATTACTTATTTGTTTTACTGTTATAGTTGCAAAATGGCAGCGAAAAAAATACAGTTTTCCGAAGATTACGTTAAGTTTGGATTTATCTTCATGGAAAAAGACGGGTGCAATTGCCTCAGTGTGAGATATGTATAAAAGTTTTAGATAATGACATGAGGCCCAATCGCCTTTAAAGGCATTTGAAGCAACATCCTACCCTGGTTTTGAAGACGAAAGTATTTTTTTCTTCTAAAGATATCATTCAAGAAGAGATTTTGTACTCCTAATCTTTGACAGTAGGTACTACATCTGAAGATATATTTAATTCAATATCAAATTTTGTTGAAAAACATGATTTAGATTGGAAGAAACTCAGTGGACTTTGCACAGATGATGCACCTGCAATGATAGGTGTACCATCGGGCATAGTTAAAAAGCTCAAGGAAAAAAATCCCGCAATGGTTAGTACACATTGTGTTATTCATCGGCAAGCTTTGACTTCCAAAACATTGCCACAGAAATTACGCCAGACTAACTCTTTTTCTTGAGTTCAAAGAAAATCACGATTTCTTGACAATGTTCAAAGATGACACATTTCAATGGTGGTTGGCTTATTTAACTGACATATTTAACTCCTTGAATGAGATAAACTTGAAACTTCAGTGCAGAAACAACACTATAATAAGCAATTATGATTATATTCAGGGGTTCATATCAAAGCTTCAGCTTTGGAATCAAAAAGTCTCTTCTGTAAATGTTATATCTTTTTCTCGGCGATTCGAGGCCATTAAAAATAACATACTGGACGCAACCTTAAAAGCTGACTCATTTGTAAGCGCTGGAAGACGAATTTCGCCGATACTATCGAGACATCAATTCAGAATCACCAATATGGCACATGACAAGAAATCCATTTGTTGTCGATGTGTCACAATTACCAGAAGAAGTTCAGGAAGAATTTCTAGAAATGAAGGCCGATTCGTCCATGACAGATGACTTCCATCTTTTAACATCGGAGAAATTTTGGTTCAAAAGATTTCCTGTTAATTCGACACTTGCATCTCTTGCTTTACGAATACTAGTTCATTTTTCTTCAACTTATTTATGTGAGACAGACTTTTCGGCTCTAGTTTTAGTTAAAACTAAACAGCGAAATCATCTTGATGTTGATAGCGACCTGGTGATAGCTCTGGCAAAAAAAGCTAGAATCAACCAGCTGGTACAGAACAGGCAATCTCAAGTATCTCGTTAGTACCTACTCTTATTTCACTGTTTTACTTAAACTTTTAAAGTTTCTTTATTAGAATTAAAACAAAACTCTTTGTACCTATATAATGTGCGTTTTTTTGTATTTATTTATAAAAAAAAAGGTTGGGAAAGCCTGTCCTATAGGAAAAGGGATTAGGCTAATTTTCTTAAAGTCGATTCATAAACTCTGACGTTGCCTTACCGTTGGCGTACCGTTACCGTAACGCTGCCGCTGATAGCTAAAATCAATTAATAAACTTGCTAGCATAACGGCTCGTGGCTCATAACCTAACTCAAAATTGCATTCCTTTTCACATATTTCAAGACCAAACTTGTCTGCAAATCATTATAGTCAGCAAACTCTTATATTGTTTTACCCCGTTTGAGATTTGGGTTTTTCAAAAACGGGTGATGAAATGATCCTCACCCTTACAATTGTTTGCATTACTTTGTTGCATGATTGGCGTATTGAAATCGAAAAAACTGCAAGAGCGACAATGTCGTGAAGAACCACCTGATATGTGGTAACAAACACGTCGTTTGCAATCTCTCCTACATAAGAGATTTTTTCGCGAGATCCCGTAGTGAATGGAGCGGGAACCGATGGAATTTTCCCTGCCTCTCGAAGTTTTGACAGTTACAAGTTACAACTGGAGTGGTTAGATGACGCATCTTGCACAAAATGTTTGTTTTAAGCTAGCTTTAGACGGTGCTTCTTTTTGTGCGTTAGCGCATGCGGCATTTCATGCAACAGCGTATGCAATATAGCGCACAAAACCGTTGCCTTTTTATATCGTGCAACATATGATTTACACCTAAATTTGTATCGGTGCGTGTTGAATAACTTAACATGGATGTTTTGAAGTTTGGAGGTTTGTGTGCTGCGTTTATCATAATAGCGAGAAATAAACAACGTAATAAACGCAAGTGTTGGATACGGGGATTGCTGAAAAAAAGCATAGCTATTCCTTTATAGAAAAAATGCTGTTAGATGGCGGTTGGTTCTTTCAAAACTTTACTAGGATGTCTTCAACTAATTTTGAAGAACTTTTGTCAATGGTTGGACCAATTATAAGAAAAAAAATGCAAATATGAGAGAATCTATTTCCGAAAAAGTAAGACTGGCAGTTTGTCTGAGATATTTAGCATCCGGAGATTCATACAGGAGTTTAATGTATACATTTAAAATTTATGACAACTATTTCACTAATTATACCTGAAGTGTGTAATGCCCTGAATCAAGTTTTGGAAGGATGTGTTAAGGTAAGAAGATTAATGTACTTCCAAAGTAGAAAAAATAACTTTATACGAGAAACCTAATATACAAACTACTTTAACATCTAAATAGTCTTTTTTTAATCAAGATAACAAACTTTACTTAAAAAGTATTATTTATGAAAATTCAAAAATTCTGCCATATCAGGATTCAGTTGTTGAATAACTTGTAATTGTACTAGCGCAGAGTTCTGGTTGGATTCCGTAGTAATATCATTTGGAAGCATTTCTGAATTTGGGCTCAATATGTTTGACAATTCACACATAGAATTAGTAGTTGAATATCCAGTGCAGCTATTACCGAGTTGAGTGTCACTTGAACGGACCATAGTAGGACAGCTTGGCCACTTATTTAGCGTCTCTGAGTTTGGGCTGAGCATTTTTGGTGTAGTTGAGTTTGAGCATTGATAACTATAATTTGCAATGGAAGATCCAGGGTGGCTATTATTTGGTTGCAGAGTATCAATCGAACGCACTATAGTGGGATAGTTTGACTACTTATTTAAACTTTGCATTTCCACTTCAAATAAAATTTTGTTAAACTCGGTTTCAGCTTGTAAACGTGGGTTAAGCTGCTTAATTTGCAAGCAATTACTTCTCCAAAATAGGAAAATCGATCTTGTTTGGTCAATTTTTCCTTTGCCTCTGTCAAAAAACGGTAGGCTTCGTCTATCTGCGCCGATTTTTTTTGGCGTTTAGTTTTTGATGAAGGTGTTGCAAAATCCAAACCCTCTTGAGTTGTACTTGATGAAGTAGTTTCGTGTTCAAGTACCTGAAAATGTTTTCTAGTTATAAAAATTAAGTTTTTAAATAAAATATTATAATAACAAAACACATTTTTTTTAGGTTCCTTCAACTGAAGATGAATGGCTTGAAATAGCTAAAGATTTTGAAAATCAGTGGCCGTCTCTTGAAGGGAAGCATCTGCAAATCCAGTGTCCAGGGAATAGTGGTAGTTCCTTCTATAATTACAAAGGAACGGTTAGTATAGTCTTAACGGCGATCGTTGATGCAAACTATAAATTCATATATGCACATGTCCGAATGTCAGACGGAGGCGTTTTCCACACTACCTCTATCTGTAGAGGCTTGGTTAATAACGCATTAAATATACCAAAACCAACACCTTTTTCTTAGAGCAGACACTTAGAAGTACCTTATGTGATCGTAGCAGATAACGCCTTTCCTTTGACAACCAATATTATGAAAGCATTTCCGGTTAATATACCAGCAGGATCTCCAAGGAGAATATATAACTATAGGCTATCTAGAGTCCGGCGCATTGTGGAAAATGCGTTCGGACTTTTATCAGCAGTTTTTCGAATTTTTAGAAAACCGATAGCAGTGAAGCCAGATACTACAGAGGCACTAGTTTTAACTTGCACTTACATGCATAACTTTTTAAGAAGAAATGCTGTTGCCAAAAAGAAATATTCTCCACTAGGAACATTCGATATCGAAAATGTAGATACGGGAGAAATAACACCAGGTATTTGAAGAAGAGATACCGCTCGTGATACAGGCATAATCAGTTTTAGGAAAATTTCACGTAAAGTCGGAAATGATGCGAAGGTAATCAGAGAAGAATTTATGAACTACTTTGTATCAAACGAAGGCAGTGTTACATGGCAAGAAACATTTGCCAACAAGTAGTTTACATTTGTAAACCAGCAATAGTAAATACAGAATTATAATACCGTAATAAAATGTTCACTCTGTCCTAAAATATTCTTATTTCATAGAAAAACCAACTATGTAGTAAATATTTACAGTTGATTGTATTTCAGAATGCCATATTAAAAACAATAAATAAATACTTAAGTTAATGCATTTCGGTTTTAAAAAACAATTTACCTCTATTTTCCTATTTCCCTCGTTCTCACTCGTGTCCTATTGGCTGTCATATCCTGCAAGTTCAGTTTCTGTGCCGCTGCGTTGCGTATCACCATCCAAAATTAATAACATCGAGGTACGAGTATAAGCGAACCAATTGCTTTTGTATGCTTCTGAGGTTGTGCTTCCACTTTTTTTCTTAGAAACTTTTGTGTGTTCCTTATGGAAGTATGACCTGAAGCTCTTAATTTTGGTCAAAACTTGCTTTGGTGTTATACTGTATTTTGTACACAATTCCTGAAAAGCATCACTTCGTATAGTCCTGTTTTTGAAATTGGGGTCGTTACATTGCCACAAACAAGTGAAAATTCTATAGAAGTCGATAAATTCAATAGTTTTCTCATTGTTCCATTCCATTTTGACGTAAAAATGCGAAGAGGCAAAAGGCAACGCAAACAAATTCCCAAAAGTCGCGGGAAACACGTCTCTTTGCCTTTTGACGCAAACGATTGGTGCGCTTCGAAGAGTGCATGCAGAGACGATCGTTTGAACTGGTCAGAAACAAGGTGGAATTCTGTATTATTTTCTGATCAAACTAAATTTAATTTATTCTCATTGGATGGCATTTTATGGGTAATTCGTCCTAAAAACAGGCGATTTGATCCTAATTTCCCTTTGGGCACAATCAAACACGGAGGCGGGAAGGTTCAAGTATGGGGTTGCTTCTGTGGTCTTCAAATGGGACCCATCGTCAAAATTGAAGGAATTATGGACCGATACAAATACTTGGAAATATTAACTGATACCATGCTACCTTACGCAGAAGAAAACATGCCTCTAAGCTGGCGGTTCCAGTAAGAAAACGTCCCCAAGCACACAGCGAAAATAATAAAAACATTTTTTGCAGATCACAATATTAATGCCATTAAGTGGCCAGCTCAGAGTCCAGATATTAACCCCATAGAGAACCTATGGGATTTAGTTGATAGAAAAATTTGGACTGAACATCCAGAAAATTTCAAAAATAGTTTCCGAACTATACTAAGTGACATATAAATCCGCACACCCAGTTTAAATGGTTTTATTTTAATAAAAGTTGGTGAATGTATTTATCTTACTGTAAATAACAAGTGAAAAAATTTTCAGCCTTATCAGTTGGACATTCCGGTTTTTATACTGCTTTTTTTTAATTCACTAACGCTCTAAAAATGAATATTTCAGCCGCAATAAAGAATCAACGTTGGCGGATTTTGGTTCTTGACATCCTTTACAATCGGTTACGATGCCTAGAGTACGGAGACCTGTACGATTTCGTCAACTTAGTGAGTTTGATAGGGGCCGTATAGTGGGACGCTGGACTTTCTTTTCGGGCAATTGCAGTTAGAGTGCAAAGAAGTGTAGACACTGTGGTTAGGTGTTGTCAGGCATGGCTTCGAGAAGGCCGTACGCAAATGGCAAGGGGCACTGGACGCCGCCGTAGAACAACAGACCGTGAACATCACCGCCTAAGATTATTGGCCTTAAGGGACCGTTTCTCCACTACCAGGTCCATTACAAATGGTTTGCAGAACACGGAAGACCTATTGGCATGCGAAGTGTTTACCGACGAATGAGAAGTTTTGGCTTGTTTTCATACCGGCCACACTGGGTCCTCCCTTTAACTCGAGAACACCGACGTAATCGCCTTGAGTGGTGCAGACAACGGTCACTCTGGGATCAGGAATGGAACAGTATTGTCTTTAGTGACGAGTCTTGATTTTGTTTAGGCATGCACGATGGTCGTGCCAGGGTTAGAAGGCGACGTGGTGAAAGTAGCAATCCACAGTTTTTTTGTTGAAAGACATGTTCATCACACTGTTGGAGTTATGGTTTGGGGTGCTATAGCTTATGGTTCCAGGTCACCTTTAATCGTCATCAGAGGCAACATGAACGTGCAGCGTTATATCCACGAAGTTCTAGAACCCATCTTTTACCCTATCTTGACACCCTGGCAGATCCTTCCAACAAGATAATGCCCGACCACATGGTGCAAGAGTCACAATAGACTTCTTTCAATATAATGATGTCACATTATTACCATGGCCACCAAGATCTCCCGACTTATCCCCAATTGAGCACGTGTGAGATATGATGGGTAGGAGGTTGCTCAATTTGCAACGTCCTCCTCAGACTCTAGAAGCACTTCGAGAGGAGTTGGTGGTTGCCTGGAATGAGATACCACAGGAGGACATTGACCACCTGATCAGAAGCATGCCTAGGCGCGTTGGAGAATCCGTAGCACATCAGGGTGCATCCACACATTATTAAAGGTCAAAGGGCTTTAAAGCAGTGCAATCATTTTTAAATTTTTATCATTTACTTATTTTGCTTCATTAAGTACTTATACAAACTTTTATTAAAATAAAACCATTTAAACTGGGTGTTCGGATTTATATGTCACTTTGTATATTTGAAGTCGCCTGGAATTCTATACCAAAAGAAACAATAGATAGCCTAATTGGTTCTATGAGAAAAATATGTCTAGCAGTTATCAAAAATAAAGGTTATGCAACAAAGTATTAGCCTCTTTGTATACGACAATTGCTTTGTATATTATGTTTCTCTATTTTGGCTCGCTGTATTTTCTGATAATAATTGTTAGCATAGTTTTATTAAGGCAGTAAATTTATTTTTATGTTGGCTTTGAATTACATGTTACATTAAGTTATAATAGAACATAAGTGTTTAGTTTACTTTAATAGTTTAATAAAATCTTTAAAAAAAGAAAATGTTTCCCCGCTTTTGTTCGGTACTGTATACCAAGAAAATCATCCATTTGATATGACAAGTGCGGTTCCTATATCTTCGATAACCTTCTCCCTCGCCATTTAACCCATTTATGCCTAAAGAGTTGCAAAACAGTTTTTTTTATTATTTTTTAAAAAACCTTATTAAAAGACGACACTTTGGAGGTATTTTCAATTTATTCTAAAAAAAATACATAAACAGTTAGTTTTTAGGATGTACTATACATAGTCCATTAGGAATAAAGGTAGCTATAAGAATAATAATAAAAAAAATATTGAAAATACAATACAAATATTTTGAAACACATCAATATTGCAAATTTTAAAGAGTATGATATTGAACAAAACATTTCACGTGAAGGCCGACATCACATTTTCTACACCTAATAGTGGTGCGCTCATGACAGTGTGCACACCTTGTTTGTTTGCCTTGTGGAATGACTAAATGATCTAAGCGATCATACCTTATGTCACCAAAATTTCTTGATTTACCTTGCTGGTACGTCTTCTTATTTTGTGTCAAGATAGTTGTAGCTACACTTCTTCTAAACTGTAATTGATCCACGTTATTTCCTCTCTTTTTATAAATATGCCAGGCGTTTGTCGGGGTCATATCTACACATTGAGAGATCAACGAGGAATACCATTTTTTGCCTCGGATTTGTACTCTGTATTGAGCTATATTCTGGTCTGACCTATCCACCCCGCCCATACATTTATTATACAGCTTGACAACTTGGGGCTGATCTACATACGCAAACTTTTTTCTTTTTGAGAATACCGCTTTACTGAATTTACTGGTTCAATTCCAATCGCTGTAGACCCAAAAGTTACAATATTGTTGTCATTCCATTTTACAAAAATTAAGTTTTTATCTTTTACTTTGGTATAATCAAATACTCCACGTTGTTCCTTTTTCATAAGTTTTGAATTTTTCAAAGAAGACATGGTATACGATTTTCACGAATTGTTCCTGGACCACATATGCCTTTTTCAGTCAAGCTTTCAAACAAAGCTGGCGAAGAAAAAAAATTATCAAATACAAAATGAAACCTAAGATTTGCCCATTTGCTTTTTAGCCTATCAGCATAGCTCAATACAAGTGATGCGCCAACACCTAAAGATTTGTAAACCGCGTTCACATACGTCGAAGCACCCTGAAAAGGTTCAAACCATAAGATGTAACCAAGAGTAGTAGCGTCAACCCAAAATTTGAACCCATAACGTATTGGTTTCCCGTGGATATACTGTTTACAACCATGTCGCCCGTTGTATGGAACCATTGCCTCATCAATAGTATGATGCTCTTATGGTACTGCGTATTCCAAAAAAATCTTATTTAGGTGATTGAAAAGACGCCTTAGTTTAGCAAATTCATAATTTGCATCCAGAGCTTCATTGTTTAAGAAGTGAATGTGAGACATTATAAATTCAAATTTATCGCGAGAAATAGCTTCAGAAACCAGTGAGTTGTGTGAATCACTGGATTTTTCCCAATACATCCTTCTGCGAGATACACTACTGTAGCCACTCAACAATAATATGCCTATAAAATATTTGATTTCAGATTTGGTAACCATAATATTCCTGTTTTTCTGTTGAGCATACCGATTTGTCTCCTCAACTATTATGTACAAAATTTCGTTATCAAAAAAACTAAAAAATATCTCGGTTGGAGACTGCTCTTGTTCATTTTGATTTTCGTTGTTTATTGGTTTATTTATGTTTTCTTTTTTTTCACTTCCTTCCGATTATTACCCCTTATTTCACTGAGTGGTATTTCATCTTCTAAACTCCACATATCCTTGTTTTGATTCTTATTTACTTCGACCTCAGCTTGCATTAAGCTTCCTGGCAAGTTGTTGATATCAAGTCTTTCTTCGTCTCCAGAATCCTCGTCGGTTATGTTACCGCATGCATTAGTGGGAGGTAACAAAGTGATAGACTCAGCTTCAATGTCGTCATCTTCTATCATTGCTAGCGCCTCATGCAAAGAAAAACCCCTGAAACAAATGTTCCTTCTCAAAATAGTTACTTATTCAAAAATAATTTACCTAAAACCATTTTATTTTTGTTTTGACTATGAACATATTCGTAGACCCCTTTTTTCCTGATGTACTAAATATAGTACACCTAACTTTATCATAACCTCACAAACAAAGCATAAATGAAACACATCATAAAATCATAAAATCTAGAAGCCGCAACTAAGGAAATAATATTTTCAAAATAAACTAGTTTTTTTTTATTTTATATCATAAAAAACCTACTTACTTTGCAAAGCGCATGCCATATTCATTCATCTTCTATTTTCCGATATACAAAAACTGATTTCACATACAAAATATTGCACAATACGCAAAATTACTCCGTACTGTACGCGATCCACCCGCAAACTGTCGCCGAGAGCTATTCAATTTAACCAAATCGTACAGATATCTACAGGGACAAACAAGTTTAGGCTGTACTATTCATAGTACATTAGGCATAAGTGGGTTAAAATCAGGTGGACCTGTTATGATTTGATTTAATTCAACTTTCGGCACTGCAAAGACAAATGTTCAAATGAGATATCTGTTTTTAAAATGACATTGACATAAGACCTGATGCCCGCTACTACCTCACCGACGTAACGCGGATACCCATACCACGTGATTTTTTTGGCAATTGGATGACGTCACATCTATCTTCCCCTATTCCCGTTCTTCGCAATTATTTGAGTATCAGTTCCCGGTATTGCACTGTGCTACACCGTGGACTCGTGAAAAGATCCTTATAGGTTGAATCGGGAACGGCAACGGCAGAAAGTTAAAACTCGTGTTTATAGACGTCAAACGCATGATTCAAGTTTATGAATCGACCTTCAAAACTCTAGTACGTTGAATGGATCCAAAGTAGGTTAAATTTGCAATCACGTTATTTCGATAAAGGGATTTAAATACGATTAAAAAGGACAATTATTGGTGGCACTGAATTAGTACATTTATTAATAGCTTTGATAGACTGTATACAGTAGTATCATGGAGAAAATGCCATGATATAACAAAACAGCAGCACTGGCTTTCAATACTTGCAAAGTCAAAACTAGACGGCCTACTGGAAAAGAGGGAGTAGAATAACCAATAGAACAGAATTCACATACAATGTCTACAACTGTGGATGCTGTTTTTTTATTTACTCAAATTTCATTATTGCTTTTCTGAACACCTACATATTATTTACCCACCATTCGATGCATTTTTGACATCTTTTGTCGGTTATTTAATTAGTTTCCGAATGCACCCATTTTGGATAAAATATTCCTAGGTTTCTCATGTCATTAAATGATCACCTCAAAATAAACTACCGTAAAATAGGGCGAGATTGATGGTTTAGGAAATTGTTTTCCATACAAAAAATCAATTACTACCATTTTATTGTTTAAAGAAGCTACCAAACATAGTGCCTACAAGTTAGGTTCCAAACATTAAAAAAACAACATATAGTTTGCTCAATGTTGGACTACTATTTTTTCCGAGCACATTACAGGTTATAAATCGTTAAAATTTGGAAGCGACTTTAATATGCCGACTGACTTTAGTAAATTGGGCAATCACAATAACACAGACACTCAAAATTTATTCATTAAAAGGAAAAGAATGCAGAACTGAAAATACTGCAAATACAATAGGAAATACAAGTTAATATATGTGAACCTCTTCAACACTGCCCTTCAACGCGATGAATTAAATGATTATGATGATGAATGATTAAAGATCTGTTAATAATCTCAAATTTTAAATATAATTTATCTGAAGTTAATACTTGGAACACCGAGCAATTTAGAGTAAAAAAAAGATCCAGAAACAGTTTGGAAAGGCAGTATAAAAAAAATATACGACCATAAACAAATCGACATTGGTATCTCCTAAGTTCACCCCACCAATACCATCAACAGCGCCCATGATCCTTAAAAATTGCGAGACTGCAAAGCAATTATAGTACATAACCTCGAAATTCGATAGCTAATGGTTACTTAGATTATGTATCTTCTGCATGAAACTTTAAAAAAAGGAATCTTAATTCACCCGCATTTCGGCAATAAGAGCGTTCATATAGTTCTTTAGGTGATACCAGCTTGCCAAGAAAACAAATGATTGCAAAATACCTATATAACCCACATGAACGAGCTCATCGAATTTTGGAAACAGCATACTGCAACTGCACTTGCTTCCCAGTTGCCTGACGAATATAAAGGGGTTGAGAGGTGGGAGACAAATCTAATATCAAAATCGCTTCCTGATATCATGGTCGCTCAACTTTAGGGTACGTCTTCACAGAGGAGAATGGTTGACGATGTAGAGGCTCCCTTACTTTTTTCTCGCTATTTATCAGGATAGTGACCTAAAAATCGCTAAAGAATAGTAATAGGATAATTATTCTACTCTTCTTTTCGAGAATTTTCCTCCAGAAAATACTTTATTGCCATTAGGCAAGTGTGAATGGTGAGTACCATTACCAGCAGCAATTTTTTTTTAGAACTGGTGTGTGGGTGAAGAGGCACTCGTAATCCATGGGAAATATATTGGTAAAGAGAACGCATAAATCCAAAATTCTGAGTTTAAAGCTGCCTTGCATTCTACCCATGGTAGCTGTGTTAAGATACTACACCCACAGATTTCAAAAAACGTGTGGTTTGATACTTCTGGTTGCTTGTTCGCCAGATTCCTCTATGACAAAGGTAACGATATCAAGCGGAATTGCACAGCAATCCTCTGTTGCCCGATTCAGTAGACTACACAGTGGAGCAAGCTCGCAAACATTCCAGGCCGCGCCTCGCACTGTGATCAAAATTGAATTGTAAATTCAGACCAGCCAAAATTATTTCAGTATACAAAACCGATCAAAATTATTTTTTGGAGTTACAAAATAATTCGAGTAAACAAAGCAATAATGCTTAAGCTATTTCAAATGATTTACTTCTTTTCTTTGCTGTATTTCTTCCTTCCTTTCTTTCCTTCTCTCCCTTTTCCCCGTAAACATGTTTGGTATCTGGGTAGCCAGACCTGACAGACTAACAGACCGAATAGTAGTAGAATAGTAGGTAACGATGTGAAACTTGCCTTTGTTCAAACAACATCTTCAATTTAATACCATTTTTGCAACATATGGAATCCATCTTTAGAACCACAACAGGCAATTAACAAACTACCGCACCTTTATCTTACAAACGGCGAATGAGCAAACCGATGATTCCGAGAACGTTTTTCAAAAAGCACATGTCCATATTTTAAATCCGGGTGCCATCGAATATGAATCCAGATACATATGTTTTATCGACCGAGTTGTACTCGGGTGGTCTCGACTCTCCTTTCTCGATGTCTGTTGGTCTGTGTGTGTGTTCAGTACACGCTATGCCCGGATTCCTCCGGTGGAATATTTCGTATAACTCTGTCGATGGAAAAAGTGCGGCATCCGCACTGGTCCGTGCGCCACCCGTAGAGCGTTTTTTCCAACGTGAGATTGTTCAGATTCCATAAAAATATAATTGGGCGGGAACAAATTGTATACATATTTATATGGGCAATGTATCTTCCATTATATAATTTTTGCTTACATCGATTATTTAGTCCAACGGGTCAACATTAATCCACAGGGAACATAACCACCGATGCATTGGCCACCCAGCGGACCTTTTTGCTTCACTATCTGCGAAGATCCTAAATAAATAGGGACTAAGCAAATAAGAATATAAAAAAGGCTTTTGGCCGGTGGCATGCTGCCCTCTGATGCAAGCTTATGACTAAGAATATTCTTTTTATCATATATCAACGACCTTCTATCCTGTACAGTCAATTCAATCTAGCGTTTTGGTCTTGAGAGAAAAAGACTAGTAGCGACCATCTATGACGAAAGATCTGGAAGTAGTTGTTTTTTTTGCAAATTATGGTGTGTATTTGTGCAAATATTTATTCCTGATATTTACCTGGTTCAAGTTGAAAAACAGCTATGCTAACACTTCGCCGTGCTACCTGTGTTACACTGTACTGTGTAAATTAAGTCCTGTTATTACTATTATTATTATTATTATTAAGGAATCACTACTTGGGTACGCAACAGTCTGGTACAGTTTAATGACTCCCAGGTTTTGATGGATGGCTAAGTTATGCCAAAGAGCCATTCGTTTCGGATAGTCGGAGTTTAGATCACAGAGGTATTGATATGACACGAACACATCTCGTCAATCGCAACAGCTACTGGGAAAAAGCTGGGTCATTTGTTCAGTGCTAAGAAGTACTTGTATCCGCAGCATAACCTCCTCACTCTAAACAAGGCCCAGAGAACACCTAGCCTCAAGTACTTCTTACATGTTTAGGGTGCTGCCGCCCCGAATATTCTCAATACAAAATGATGTTCAGAGGAAGGCTGCCGGTTTAATCGATGATACATCTCTAACTGACATTTTCGAGACCGTTTCGCACCGCCACTGTAACGGTGCTTCAGCGAAGCTGATGTCTACAGTTGCTGGGAGGACGAATGAAATAGTACTTATCCAAGAGCCTTATTGTTACAGAGAGCGGATACGCGGGCTTCAGCCTAGCGACAGGTCAAGAACTATCTCCAAGGGCAGCTATCCTATCATCCAATAGCCTTCTGCTGATATTACTGCCACAGCTGGGAACTATTTTCTGATCCAAAAAGGAAGAGAGCAGCCGAACACATCGCGCACTACTGCAGGCGCGGCATCCCTTTGAATTGACAAAATCGAAACGTGAGTATCCCTCACCGTTTTTAAGCAGATGCCGTTCTTGCAGTGCTCTTTCTTTTCGAAGTGGCAGCGCTGACGTCAACAGTTGAGGCGAGGCCCTACTCACTGGAGTACAATAATAATAAAAATAATAATAATAAATCGTCTTTATTTATAAAGTTACATAGTATCGGGCGAAGTTTAGCTAAATAGCTACTCTTCCACTTAACCCTATTATTTTCATGGTTGTGAACCAATGTAAATACATGTAATTAACATGTATATATACAGTGGCTAACCAAAGGAAAACAAAAGACATAATATAGAAAATATAAACAGATTCAGCAACACGTCAAATAAAATTTTTCTGGCGGTTACTAATCCAAACTACAAACTACTACTTAATTACTACTAAGAGTCATTTTTGATAGCAAATGCTGCTTGACACAAACTTTAAATTTAGTTTGAGATAAATTTTTGAATGCATCAGGTAGCACGTTATACAATTTGACACAATTATACCTAAAAGAGCGAGTAAATAAAGCCGTACGGTGCCGTGGAATATCTAATAATTTGCCATACCTGAGCATGCGATCTCTAACAGATTGCCTGAAAACAATTTTTTTGAAGAGGGTCTCGTAATCTTGAGCTTCTTAATAAGGCACCAAAGCGACTTTTTCCAATCTCGCCCGTAAAAAAAGTCATCGATATAAGAGGTAAAACACATAGTTTGGAAAACATCGTGACAGGCGGATATCACCATATCTGATCACAGGATGATCAGGTTGGAGCAAAACAGAAGAGGACCTGGAGAATGGCGTTTCCAAACTGGAGAGCATCATTCGCATAGATTACGAAGCAACATGTTCCAGCGTACCATTTACGTCATTTTAAAATTTTGTGCGACTAAGTACTTCAAAAAGCTGAGAAGAAAAATTTACTTGATCTTTGAAAATTAACAGGTTACGCGTTGTATTTACAAACTTGACACAATAAATAACTGTTCAAATGCCCAAATGCAGAATGACGTATGCCGACAGTTGAAATCCTAGAAATCCGTTTATGGGAACGCAAAAAATGTATCGCATGCATACATTTTAATATCGGAATATGTCGATTTAGTCGTATTAAACAAATCGATGCATTGGCGTAGATACTTTTGAATTCCTTGAGGGAACACACTTCGGGCAGGCAATGCTGTTAATATTCTTACTTCAACGTATTTGCCTGGCCATTGTTGTTGAAGGCTGGGTAGACAATGTTAATGTAAGAATGAACAGATTAAAAATATCAACGATATTCGTGACGAAAAAAGAAACTTAAAAAGGAGAACAGAGACAAAACAATCATAATGTGAGCCTCGTAACTGGAACCACACGTCGAGAGCGTTTGCCACGCATCAAGAAGTATCGACCGCCATCTACTAGCTTCGACGAAGCAAAACACGGGAACGTTTCTGAATTCATTGATTCGAAGATTAATATACGCACTGAGGGCACTGGATAAGAGAGTCAAAAGTCAACAGACATCGGATGATGACTCAGCAGCGCGAAACGCGATAGTTCAGTCGTCATAGTCATAAATGTGTAATAGATTAGTTGTGTTATAATAAATTAGTGTGGGAGAGAACCAAATTAGACTTTAAATAGCAAAACGGTGTTTTCGTTTCAATAATTAATAAATAAAACTTGAAGTCTTTACTTCTTTAATCACAGCAATACTCTAAAACTTCTAAAATAACAATAATATGCTTCCAGTAAACGTCTGCTTAGCAAGATCCTACCACGTGGCACACAATGTACGACATAATTAATTTATTGCAAAATCATTTGATAATACTGGCTTCAAAGCCCATGTGACTTGACACCAATGGACTGTTCACTGTCCAATATCCACTCTTATTCCACGTCGTCAGACCATAGACTCTAAAAGCTTTACGACATGTTCGTCACATTATTGAAAATACATGCAACGAATCTTCACACGTGATCAAAAACTGGAAATCCAGATTGCGCTTTCTTCGGCCATTTCTTACGTTCTTTGAAGGTCTTATCCTCTGAAAACTGAACCGTTAGACATAGATTCTGCTTGATCACCTTTAGGAGTAAGAAAGCCAACCCTTCAGTGGATTTGAAGAACCCAACTGTGTCGTCCCCAAAGCTAAGATATCCTTACCTCTCCTAGGGCCAATGTATGTATTAAACAGTAAAAGGCCAAGACTTAACTCAGTTGTTTATGTTTTGCTTACTAATATCAATATATTTGCTGTTAACCTGTTTATGGCATACACACATACATCTATGCCTTTACTATCTCAATACTTATTTACGATGTGTGAGTTAGGTGTGAATATGTTTGAATATTTTTTGTTACTTTTATTAATTATTAATTATTTATATGTTCGTAGTATTTGCCGTTTCACACCAGAGACTCCATAATCACCAAAGTTTATTAGTGCGTGAGTCCAGAACTACGTAAGGTGTTACCAAATCAGTTGATAAACTATATAGCTGCACAAATTCAAATGACAAAAATAGGAAGGCCACACACGTTTTTTCTGTGGTCATTATTTGTCATTGTTATGATGCCCGTACATGCAACAATATGGAATTATACTTTTTGCCAAATAGATTATTATTATTACTAATTATTATTAGAGTAGTTAGTCAAGAGCTTATGTGAAATCTGGGGGTACGTCCATGATCTGTATCCGCAAATCGAGGCCTGTTGTTAGATATCGTTGCGTGCTACCGAGACTGTGCCTAATCAATCAAATTGAACAAAAACTAGACAAACATTGGATCATTAATCACATATCAGCAAACAGCTTTAAACGATCGAAATGGTGTATATTAATAATTAATATATCTTATGTAGAGTTTAGCATAAAGTAATGGAAATGAATTAAACATATCTATTCGCTGCGAGTATATCGCATTAGTGGAGATGTGGGTGTAAAGGCATACACTCTTACAGGGATGGAATAAGTAGCT